TTTTTACCATTAATATATATAAAAAAATAAAAATTAATTTTAATTTTATCAATTATTTAATTAAATCATTTTATGTGATATTGGTATTAGAAATAAAGTTTACTTTTCTAATTTTTCATATAAATTAGTGGTAAAAAGCTATAATAAATGCACCATAAGGACATAGATTACAAAAAATCTAACTTAAAATGCTAATTTTACAATTACCTTAGAAGAGACAAAAATTCCTTAATATTTTTTTGATAATTGTATGTAGTGGTAAAAATGAAAAGATAAGTCTTAATTACTTACTGTAATGAATGAATTTCTTGATAATCATGAATGAATAAAATAAAACAATTAAATCAAACAAAAGTAGTACTAAAATTTATAGAAACATAATTATCACTGGGTAATTCCTTGATTTTAAATGAATGATTCAATTAATAAAGGAGGTTCAGAAGTGTGAAATGGAATGAATTTTTTTTTAATAAAAGAATTTAATATACTTTATTTAGAAAAAAAAAATTGATAAATAAATTGAAACAACTCTTTTTCAGAAAGTGCGAGTATGCCAAATAAATTGCAACAAATGAAGTAATAGTTCAATTCACTGCCTGTTGTCTTCCTGCTTGACCATATTTTTCACAAGTGGAATTGTCCAAGAATTCACCACCGCCTCTTATTGGTTAAGAAGGTGGGGTGCTTCATTTGCAAAGCATTAAATTTAAGCAAATGATGAAAAAAGAAAATCAAAAAGTTAAAATTTGTTTATTTCTTTTCTTAGGACAGATTCTTGGCAAAAATCAATATGTAGCCCTTACCTTATAAAGTTGGTAGGTTTTAGCCATTCACCTTATGATATGACATTTTTAGCCATTTCCCTTACAAATTCGGTAGGTTTTAGCCCTTCACCTTCCAAAGTTGGTAGGTTTTAACCCCTCACCTTATATTATAACATTTTTAGCCCATCACTTATATGAATCGAAGAAAATAACTCCCACCTAATATTAGGTTATAACATTCTATTGGTTCTGTTAGCTGTCTGTTAACATCCGTTAGCATTTCATTATAGAAAATATGAAATTTAAATTTAATTTTATTTGTTAGTTGCATTAACAGAACGCTAACGGATGCTAACAGTCAGCTAACAAAACTAACAGTTAGCTAACAGAATTGACAGTCAACTAATAGAATTAACAGAATATTATAATATGATGTTAAGTGAGAGCTATTTTCTTCAATTCGTATAGATAAGGGGTTAAAAGTGTTATAATATAAGGTGAGAGGTTAAAACCTACTACTTTTGTAAGGTGAGGGGTTAAACCTACTAACTTTGTAAGGTAAAGGGCTAAAAATGTTATATTATAAGGTTAGAAACTAAAACCTATCAATTTTGTAATGTAAGGGGCTAAAAGTTGGTTTTAACCCAGATCTCTTTGAGCATTAACATAAAATTAAAAAAGATGAAATATTGGTAGTGATGTCCCACTTGTTTTTTCCTATTTACCTCGTTTACGCGTATAAATATCTGTCATTGCAAGAGCATGCATTGTACCCCCAAGGCATTCTAAATCATTGGAATCATGGCATCAACCTTGTTCCTCCTCCTGCTACTTCACTCTTTCTTTGTTTCTACTTCTGCTTCTTCCACCACTTCTTTACTTAATCAAACAGAAACTCTTTTCAAATGGAAAGCCAGTCTTGACAACCAAAGCCAAAGCTTCCTCTCTACTTGGGTTGGGGACAAGCCCTGCAATTGGGTGGGAATCGCTTGTGATAGAGTTGGAAGCGTCACCAACATAAGCCTTTCAAATTTTGGTCTCAAAGGTACACTTGACAACCTCAATCTCTTAGTCTTCCCCAACCTAATTCACTTTGATCTTGGTAATAATTCACTTTATGGGGCCATTCCTTCTGACATCGTTAACTTGTCCAAACTCACTTTTTTCAATTTGTCTAGTGATAATTTTTCTGGAAATATTCCCAAGGATATAGGAAGGTTGAGTTCGCTTGCCGTACTCGACCTTGCTTGGAACCAACTTAGTGGTTCACTTCCTGTTTCTGTAGGAAATTTAAGCAATGTGTCTTACCTTGCAGTCCCTGGCAATAACCTCAACGGTTCCTTGCCTCAGGAAATTGGAATGTTGAGTTCAGTTACTGACCTTTACCTTCAAAACAATTCTTTTACTGGTCCAATCCCAGCATCAATAGGAAACTTAAGCAATTGTCAATATCTTCACCTTTTTGTAAATGAGCTATCTGGTTCTATTCCTGTGGTTTTAGGAAAATTGAAAAATTTGTTGGAACTGCGCTTGAATAACAATAGACTCAATGGTTCTATACCGCAAGAAGTAGGAACGATGAGATCACTTCTTAGGCTTGATTTAGCATCGAATTCCTTAACTGGTCTAATCCCTGCATCAGTAGGAAATTTAAGCAATTGTCAATATCTTTACCTTTTTGAAAATGAGCTATCTGGTTCTATTCCTGTGGTTTTAGGAAAATTGAACAATTTGTTGCAGCTGCACTTGAGAGACAATAGACTCAATGGTTCTATACCTCAAGAAGTTGGAATGATGAGATCTATTGTTTTTCTCGATTTTTCAATGAACTCCCTAACTGGTTCAATCCCTGCATCAATAGGAAATTTAAGTAATTTATCATATCTTTACCTTTATTCCAATGAACTCTCTGGCTCTATTCCTAGTGAAATAGGAATGATTGATCTTTTTAACTTGCTATTGTCACAAAATAACCTCAATGGTGTTATCCCTGCTTCTATTGGAAACCATACAAGACTTGGAAGGTTACATCTTGACACTAATAGTTTATCCGGTCCAATTCCTATAGAAATGAATAACCTAACTACCTTGGAAATTTTACAATTGGATGATAACAATCTTGTTGGCCATTTGCCTGAGAATATTTGCCTTGGGGGATTTCTCACACACTTTACAGCACATAACAATTATTTCACGGGGCCCGTACCAAAAAGTCTGAAAAATTGCTCTAGTTTAACCAGAGTAAGGCTTGAAGAGAATCAACTTGAAGGAAATATATCAGAAGCTTTTGGCATATATCCCATCTTGGATTTTATTGATTTGAGTGATAACAAGTTGTACGGTGAACTTTCTCCAAATTGGGGTCTATGTCAAAACCTCACAAGCTTGAAGATCTCCAACAATAAGGTATCTGGTAGGATACCTCCTGAGCTAGCTCAAGCCACTCAATTGACTCGGCTTGACCTCTCTTCAAATCAGCTGAGTGGGGAGATTCCTAAGGAAATAGGCAAGCTGACAACCCTGGTTTATCTCTTGCTAAATGACAACCAACTCTTAGGCAGAATCACACCAGAGATAGGAAACCTAGTAAATCTGCAACAACTCATCTTGGCAAAGAACAATCTGGTTGGACCAATTCCCGAACAACTTGGGAATTGCTTCAGGTTATTACAATTGAACCTGAGCAACAATCTACTTGGGGAAAGTATTCCACCTGAAATAAGCAAAATATTTGCCCTTGAAGCCCTTGATTTGAGTTGGAATTTGTTAACAGGAGAGATTCCACAAGAGCTTGGAAGATCACGTGTTTTGGAAACGCTGAATCTTTCTCATAATATGCTCTTCGGTTCCATTCCCCCTACTTTTGATGACTTGAAGAGCTTAACATATGTTAACATGTCTTATAATCAGTTAGAGGGCCCTATCCCACTTACTAAAGGTTTCCTTCGTGCCCCATTTGATGCTCTTAGAAACAATAAAGGCCTCTGTGGCAATATCACTGTTCTCCCGCATTGTGTATCCAAAAGCCAGAAGAAAAGTAGCAGCGGACTTGTAATTTTAATCATTACACCAGTTTTGGGCGTTCTATCTCTGTTATTTATCTTGGTGGGGTGTTTACTTCTTATTTATCGCAAAAAATCTGAGACAAAAGAGCGCCAATTTCGGGATATATTTGCCATATGGGGATATGATGGGGAAATCCTCTATGAAAACATTCTTGAAGCTACAGAGCAATTCAACTCCAACTATTGCATTGGCTCAGGAGGATATGGAAATGTTTACAAAGCTCTGCTGCCAACTGGTCGAGTTGTTGCGGTTAAGAAACTTAACCCATCAGATGACAATCAATCCATCAATTTGCGAGCATTTGAAAGCGAGATTTGTGCTTTAGCGGACATACGACACCGTAACATTGTCAAGTTGTATGGTTTTTGTTCTAATGCAGAGTATTCATTCCTGATCTACGAGTTTGTAGAAAGGGGGAGCTTGAGGACAGTTTTGAGCAACCCAGAAGAAGCGGCAGAGTTGGATTGGGATAAGAGATTGAACATTGTTAAAGGGTTAGCGAGTGCTTTATCTTACATGCACCATGATCGCCCTTCACCAATAATCCATCGTGACATTTCTAGCAACAATGTTTTGTTAGATTTGGATTATGAAGCTCATGTCTCAGACTTTGGCACAGCTAGGATTTTGAAGCCAGATTCCTCTAATTGGACATCTTTTGCAGGCACATTTGGCTACACAGCTCCAGGTATTTCATTCATTTGATATCTTCTAATAAACTCTAGTAATTATTATACTGTTTTATAACTAACTAGACTTGCTTCTGCAGAGCTTGCTTACACGATGCAAGTAAGTGAAAAATGTGATGTCTATAGTTTTGGGGTGCTAACAATGGAGATAATTATGGGTAAGCATCCAGGTGATCTTATTTCAAATTTATGGACACCAAATGGCCAACAAATGTTGCTGAAGGATGTCATAGACCAATGCCTTAAACCTCAGAGGAGGAATAAGGTGGCTGAGCAAGTGGTTGCTACCATAAAGCTAGCATTTACATGTTTGCATTCCAATCCTCAATTTCGCCCCACCATGCAACAGGTTTATCAGGCTCTTACAAGTGGTCGACCATCTCCATTGCCAAAGCCATATTCAATGATAAGTTTGGGAGATTTGATTGGAGATGGACATGGGATGCAGGGCTGAGTTGCTTGGATATTTATCATAGTTCTAGGTATGTGTCATTTGTATTTATCTTTTCTAGTCTACCTTCTCTCTCAACAAAAACAATTTTTATCCTTTGTGTTCTACTCTTTGTGATAAACTTTGAACCTATTTGCTTTGGCTTTTATTGATGCTATTTTGTTAGCATAATAGAATATTATATAACAATATGACAGGTTGAAAGGTCTAATAAAAGAACTTGAAGAAATGTGGATGTGTTATTAGGTTTTCTATCTACATTCAACTTGAAGATGAATGGGACCGCTTTCTTCTATAAATTAGGGAAGTAGTTAAGCTACATGTTGTGTACGCTACGTGGACTATTGCACTTTTTCATTTGTTGTAACTTCTTAGGGTTTTTCTTTTAATAAATAATTTGCTAGTGTATGTGTGTTGCTATCGTCAGCATTTGGACGGTCTTTGTATTCATTTGCCATAAGTTATATCAATCGACATAAATTTATTTTCACTGAAATTTATGGCTACAATATTGGGTTTTTTTATTGTACATCTAAATGGATTATAAAAGAGAAAATAGCTTTCTTAAACTTCTCCCCACTCAATTTAAGATTCGAATTTAAGATTTTTAATTTAAAATCTCAAATTTTTAATTTAAAATATCAAAATTTTAATCATTTAGCCACCGCTTAAGGTTATAACACTGGGGGTTAATACTAATACAACTCTTTTTTTTTTTTTAATTCTCTTAACATGCCCTCATTTTTTCAAATCTCTCACAACCCAACTTAATATTTGAATTTAAAATTTTCAATTTAAAATTTTGATGCTTTTAGCTAATTAAATCACCTCCTTTTTGAGGTACATAGTGAAGTGTTGAGCTGTTATAGTCAAGTAAAATGGCAATATATACCACAATAAATATTATGTCGAATTATATATTACATAATATAATGGGATATTAAATAAATTAATATATATAATCCATTATATATTTAAAATGTGTAACATTTCCCCTTGGTAAATAACCGTGAAAGGCTACACCACCAAAATAGTCCAAGAACGAATTTTTTTACACTCTTTTAGGCTTTTTGTAACGCGTTAAAATACTACTAAACAATAATTTCACTAAGAAGATGACCATCAAGAGATTATATACTATCACATAAATAAATATTGCATAGTTAATTTAACACCGAATCCTTCTGACTCGTTTGACTTATTTAAGTTATCCAATATAGCTTACATTTGTCGACGCCTTCATACTAAAGTAAGCATGTGCAATTTTTCTTGAATGATCCATTACAATTAAACTCCACGTTTAAATTTGAAAATAGACAATCGTTGATCACCACTCGCCATTTCAACATCACATCCTCATTGATGTCATGGAGTTTCAAATTATGCATTTCTTCAATTACTACATAGAAAGAAGTGCATACAACTAGAACTGTAGTACTGCAAAATGTAGTTTTTGCCAAGGTTGTAAATCTCGTACCGTACCAATCAATAAAATTCATATGGACCGATTTTGTGTCAAAATTAGTACATAAATTTTCTAACAAAAAACAGAAAGTCAAGATTACTTGGCAGTCTTGACTTTTCGCCAACTCATCTTCTAATATTGTATCACTTTAAATCTTGGCCATGCCGATTGAAAATGGTTGTATTAGCCGAAGTATCGTGTAACAGATTTTCAATGGGTACATGTCTATACCCACTTTCATGCTAAACAAAAAAAAAGAAAAAAAAGAAAAAAAAAAAGAAAAAGAGTTAAAGCCAACTATAGTCCCTCTACTTTCAATTTTTGTTCATTGTTCTCCCTATACTTATAAATCGTTCGAAACCCTCTCTCTACTTTCCCAAACCATACTATAGTCCTCCCTCTACTTTAACTTTCCATTACATTTATCTCCCTCCCCCAACACCACCCTAACACTGTTTATAACTCCCATTTAACAGTGGCATCTTTGATGGTTAAGTGCAATAGTTTTTTTTTTTTTTAGTGAATTGTGTTTGTGGATCCACAAAACAAGGGGAAAAAGTTCAAAATCTATCAATTTAACAAGTATATACTAACTAATAATTAATTTCAATATTTTTTTTATTTTCAATGCGCAAAATCTCCATTTTTATATTTTTATTTGTTTCTTTTCTTAATTACTATTAAAATAATCTTATTATCACATCTCATTAATGTTAATTTTACATTAAATTATTCTTTATGATTTTTTTACTTTGAATTGCACAGTAAGATCTAACTCTCTCTCATCTCTTAACCCATCTCATTTACATATCATAGAATTTGAAATCAAAATCTTTTACTTTTGTTAAAAAGAAATTATTAATAAACTATTTAGGTTATTAGTTTCTTTTTGACTTTTTTAATTTATTAATATAACTGAAAATTATATGAATGACATTTTCAAAAATTTAGGCCATATTTGATTGAGTTATTAAGAATTTTTTTTTTTTTTTTATGGATAGTGATTAAGAAATAATTAATACCTATTTTCTTTAATTGGATGAATAAGGCTATTTAAATTACAAAAAATAATAACAATTGTTAATCATTATATATAGAATATTATCTATTAGTTATTATTAATAGTTAAATTAAGGTTTTATTTAATCATGCTTTTTATATTTTTTCACAATGTACTTTATCTAAAATGTAAATTTATTAATTTTTTTATATTTTTACTAAGATTTTTTCTTATTTGCGTTATAGGAACAAAGGCTAAGGGTAATTTTTTACCATAAATTTTTATATAAAAATGTAAAAATTGACAATAATTTCATAATCATTACCACATGTGAATAAATTTAATTAAATTATTAATTAATTAAATGCCAATATTTATTCTTTCAAGACTCTTAACATGTGTCCTCATAACATAAGAGGGTAAATGTTAGAAAAAAAACCCTCTTACCAATTTTAATTAATATTTTAAATATTTTTAGGATTGTGGAAGATAGAAAAATCTATGAACATAGTATAATACTGCTAAACTAAACTAAACGTAAATATGGTTGAAAATGTAATAATTTTGTATAATATTAAAGTTTTGTTTAACCATACTTTTCATAGAGCACTTTATCTAAAATGCTATCTAAAATGTAATTTGATTATTATTAATCAAATGTAATTAATTTTTATATACTTTTATTAATTTTAAAAAATAATATAGTTGAATCATCACGCGACATTGTATCAACATAATATATTATTGTATAATTAACTTTTTTCACTTAAGATCCATCATGGTATATTATATGCAACGATTCATTTAATGACATATTACACTTATTTAATGTCACATAATAATTATAAACTTATAATCTTTTATGGTATTATAATTATAATATTCTTGATTAATTTGAATTAATATTTTATATATT